GAATCCCGAAGTTATATAAATTTAGCTGCGCACTACTGTATATGTAACTTTTCATCTTAATTCCATGTGGTTACATGTACTTTGTAGAATCTTATCCTTATTGATTTCTTAAGATATTACATTTTTTAAAAAATACTATGACAGAATAAAATAGCTACATATTTCACAAATTAGTGAGTAATATATCAAATACAAAACGAACGAAACTTATAACTGTTTTTACAATTTGTTATATTCCTTATTAATTAATAGAATATTTGTGCTAGTAATATATTTTGAAAGCTCAATTCAAACATTTTATTGATATAAAGTATTTAACCACATTGGTTGGTTAACAATGCATTGTTATATATTTTACTAAATCGGTTATGTGAATCGCTTGGTTGAGAGTTGTTGATCTGTTTGTTACATGTATAATGCCATTTTCAAGACTAGTCCTGTCAACTAAGACTATAAAAGGAACTAAGCACACATTTACGACTTCTTCTGAGGTGGTTAATATAGTATTCAGGCCCTTTGTTCTAAGCATGTTATTTAAGTAAAGTACAAAGCGATTTAAATCATCATTTCCAATATTCGTTTCATTCTGTAAATTTTTTATATGAATTGCAACTTTATGTGGTGCTAATTTAGAATGAATACGTATTGTAGCTCTTTCATCTACATCATAAGCATCACAAAGTAGTGCTAAGCAACCCCAATCTAAAGATAATACATGTTCGACCATTTGTATGTCGTCAAGATCTTTTTTATTATCAATCTGAAAATAAAATATTCCATATAAATGATTTTTATTTTTGAACTTTCATGAGTAAATGATTAAAAATTAAAGAACAAGTCACCTGAGTTAATAACTTATGAACATCAGTATGGTAAGCTATTTTTTCTACAGTGATGGTATCATATGGAAATTGAGCTTCTATATCTACCAAGTCAAAATTGTCCACCTTTTTAGTTTCTGTAATCTTAAACCTGGAAGGTTTCTGAGCTAATCTACGCCACCAAGCTTTACGTTCTTTTTGCATTTTATGGTATAAATTTTTAGCGTTTATATTATTCTCAAAAATAACTATTTCCATAGTTTTATGATGTTTCAAATTAGATGCAACTGGTTCAATATTTTCATTCCAAGAAGTTTTTGAATCTTTTATGGTAGCTAATCCAAATGGAATTTTACCCATTGGATTTTTAGTTATGAAATTTAAGGAGTCTGTAAACTTTTCTGATAAAAATATATTGTAAGATGACATTGTAATAGCATGTAAGAACCAATGTTCTTCTAGATTTCGTAATAACATTTTACCCTGAGGTCCATAAATGAAACTATGTTCTGTAAAGTTTATAAAATTTGCACTTATTTCTCTTAAAATCTGTGTTATACTCATGTTTTTTTATAATTATTCAAGGGTGCAACAAAATATTCTTCTTCTAAAACAACAGCATTCTTCAAAATTGATTCTTTATCAATATCAGTTTTTACTTCATCGATTCGTAAAGGAATTAATTTTTCCTCAAACGGATTATACATAGGTTCAATATTGTAGTCAATTTCTGCAGTCCGTATGCACTCTGTAAACCTTATTGCCGCTGCTAGTACAGAAGAACCGTTATTACCTTCGTAATTAACTAAGGACAATTTCTCAATTTTATTGATTGCCCTCTGACTTAAATCTTCTATATATTTTGGTTTATATTGATTATGACGTGGTATATGACAAAAAAATCGATTTAACGTTAAACGAATACTCTTCAAACGTGAACAGTAAAAAATTTCCATTTGTGTAGAAATCAGTTATTCACAATATTTTTATGTAATGAAATGTTACGTAGTTATATTTTATTAATTCATTAAGTAAAATATTATTTCTGTGTGCTGATTACTGATAAAACAATAATTATGAGTTAGATGAAGCCGAATAAACATTACTACCGGCACATGGAAGAAACCACTACCTCTTTGACTGAACAATATGGTAAGCTAACTAAAACCACGTGACCGTTTCAGGGACGTAGCATGATGCTAATCCCAAAAAAACTAACCTATCTATTTTGCAATTAAAATGTATGGTTTATTTGATTTTAGTGAATGAAACAGAAGGAAGAAAGTAGGAATGTAGTTTAATGTTCTATCATTTATTTTTGAGAAAAAAGATCTTAATAAATATAACAATTACAATAAGTGTTTCTTTTTAATTCAAGTATCTAAATGTCATGCATAAAACAGTATTTTTTGAAACTACTAGTTCTAGAAGCTGGTCTCCCGAGATACTTACATTTTTCTGTTATACATAATAACAGATATTAAATATATGTGTAATATTATGTAGTTTAATAACTAACTATTCTATTTGGTTACAGTCCGCTTTTAAACTAGGACATTTTTGGCAGTGTTGATATTTTAGAACAGTAAACGGAAAAATACATTGTATTCAAAGTCTACACGGATGTTAAGCCTGCGGTTAAGCTGTGCTAATTGCACAGAATAGATATGTATAGACTGTGCATACAATGTATTTTTCTGTCTATTGTTCTGAAATACCGACACTGCTAAAACTGCTCCAATACCACCGACATAAACTTAAGATACGTAGTTTCGACAACAAGTATAAGTTGTTTCTACAAGATGGCAGAATTGTAGATATATGTGGCGATAGAATAATTTGCATTACTGACAGAGAATGTTATAAAATAAATCGTCATTTTCATAATATAGAATTTGCCGTTGCCATATACAGTTATTTATGTCATTAAAGTCCATCACAGCAAACTGAAATATAATTATATTATAGTTAAACTAGTTAAATATTATATTATATAGCTATAACTATAACAAAATAGCTATAATAGTTGGGATGTGTGTTGGTATTTAAAAAAGTAAGATCTAAATTTGCAATTGAGTAATGTTTTTAAAAAGCCACTTTCTAAATAAATTTTAGAGTAAATAATTTTATAATATGATTATGTAATAACAACGGTAGAAATGTTGATTAAGGACTACAATACTATTCTTTGTAGAAATATGAAGTAGGTTCACATAATATTAAATGAACTAAATACTTTATTTAAAAATGCACTCAAAATTGTCAGATATCCTATATCTAATAATACTATGGAACAAATTTTGACCTATGTTAGTTTTTGCAATAGCCACTACGTAATTCTTATAGAGTTCCTTACCCTAAATACGAATCCGAAAACCACATTGCTGGGTCAGGTCCAGTTTTCGAAAAAACTGGGATTTTGTAAAAACGGTCGAATTTTTCAGAAAACCAAGTGTTACGTGAAAACTAAAAACGATAGGCAGTTAAAATTTGTCGCAAAAAATAAAGGGGACTTGCCCGATCACGTAGCTATAAAAATTTTGAATTTTGGGTATCATTAAATGTTTGTAAACTGTGATCAAAATTTAAAAAAGGTAGATGCGCGTACTTTGTATGCACTTCTGTTACATTTCTACGAAAAGTGGGTTGGCCAGCACGAATTTGCTGTGCACCATTGGATTCTGCAGACATTTCTGAAGAGAAACCCCCCCGTGGGAAGCGTGACATCGGTTTTTCTTTGGGACAGGGTAAGAAAATGTCCGTGAACGGAACTTTCGCGCCACACGGCCATCGCTCGCCGGCCACAGTTATGCAGGGCCGTGACTACGCGCTGTATAGACCTGGACCCCGGTCACTTCTTATATGTATATATGGACCGTTTATTTTGAAAGTGGTTTAAGTCTATTTTCTCTTGTTTCGAGAAAATTAAAGGTTAACGTATCTGTTAATTAAAAAATTTTGGCAAATTATATGAAGCCTGGCAATGTTTCTACTGTTTTATCAATATGTAATTTGTTTATATAAATTTGTTTTAGGCGTATTTTACTAAACTGATGTATACTTACGGGTTGCAAATGGATTTACACCACTTTCAAAATTAGACAAAAAATCGTTTAATTTCAATTTTGAAAATTCAAATATAACTTAAAATATACTATTCATAATCAAAGTGTGTTGAATTGTTAAATGACTGCATAAAACAATATGTAAAAAATGGTACCTAATACTAAAAGTACCATTTTTCGAAAATATATTTATAATAAAAATGTGTCAAATTGTTAAATGACTTACGTTGTACAATAATATCTAAAAAATGGTACCTAATACTAGAGTGTCATTTTTCGAAAATGTGTTAAATTTTTAAATGACTACGTTATACAATAATATCTAAAAAAATGGTACCTGGAGGTTCCTCCAGAGGTTATATTGTTAAAGAACAAAGTTCACACTACAAGCAACATAGAACTATCTAAACAATATTATGCATAAAGTAAAACACTAGTTCCTTGTATCCTAAGATTATTAATTACTAAAAACTTAGAAATAGCTTTGATGGCCCTCATGTCAGGTCCAATCAGAAACGTTTCCGTTTTAAAAGGGGCATTCCATCCTAACATCCGAAGTTCAGTGGTCAAGACAGTTCTACTTCCATTAAATCTAGGACAATCCCACAGTATATGGCACAGATCCTGAAGCTCAAATCCACATTCACAGGAACTGCTACGAATTATGCCCACTCGAGCTAGAGACGCAGCCAGGTTGTAGTGATTGACTCTGTATCTACTGACCCAAACTGCAGTATGCCTTAACAGATTTCGGTTATAAAACCACGGCTTCCTGTTGTGCTCGAAATATGTGTTGAAATAGGCTGAACCCTTGGATGCTGCTTCACCAAGCCACGTATTTACGGAATCTTTCCACATAATCTCCCTTAACCCTTTTAGTGCCGGAGGCCGATATATCGGCTCTTGATGCACTGGCGAGAAGTGCCAGAGCCGATATATCGGCCCGCGCCTTGTAGAGCTTTACTATTTGCATTGCAGGAGAATTCAATCTCAAAATAAATTTATAATCCGTTATAAATGGTCTAATTTCATTACGAGAGAATTAAAAAAAATAGTTTTTCGTTTTAACTCTTTGTGCACGACGACTTTTTCCTATCGCTTGGAGCTAAAGAAATCAAACATAAACACCATGTACCTCCGAATTATTTTTTATTTTTATTATGTAATATTATTTATCTTGTTACAAAATATATTGGAAATGAAAAGTATATACTTTGTAATAAATGGTCTATATAAAATTATGATGAGAAGATGACTTTTCGTATGTGCAAATACGTTTTGTAAGAGAGAATTCAACTTTTACTTTCTTTATGATCTTTTATACCTTTATTATTTATATAATTTTCAATGAATATAGAAAAACTAGTGTCATTGTTTTGTTCTCTATTTCGTCCTTAATATACTGCTTTTTGAATCATGTAAATATTGTTTCTTGTTTGGTATTTATGAGCATTTTCCTAAACTCTAGTAAAACCGTGAAATGCGGCCGGTTATTCTCGCATAGGCACCTCTTTTTCGCCTGGCACTAAAAGGGTTAAGATAGGAGAAAAATCAGTATATGGAACCTTAAAATTGAAATTCTCGCTTAAACTAGAAGCTAACTTAGCTGCTGCATCAGCTCGTTCATTTCCCAAAATGCCCCTATGAGAAGGTAACCAAACAAACTCAATCCTACATCTAGGAGAAGCCATTGTTTCAAAAGCGATTAGTTCTTCCTTAATCTCTTTTAACAAGGAACAAGATCGTTGGCAGAAGACTTTGCCATCAAGCGCCTCTAAGGCACTAAGTGAATCACTGCACATTATGTAGGAATTACTCCTATCCTTATTGGCCAAATTAACCGCCATAAGAATTCCATGACATTCAGCGGAAAATATCGATGTTGCATGGTTAAGGCTCCTGGTAAAAGAGCAATCCAACAGAGGGCAGACATATGAGGTTCCAGTTGAAATGGCTCCATCCATCTTTGATCCATCAGTGAAAATCTGGACGTACCCAGGGTATAAGTCACTGACAGCACTCTGGAAGACCTTGTCTGGAATGCTAGATGATTGAAGAAAACGTCCAAGAAGAGTATTTATGCTGATTTTACTAAGCTATACCCTAAAATCCGTAAGGTTGCATACTAAAGACGAGTTGCAATCCAAAAAAAGAATAAAATTAAATATTTCATTCCAACAGGATCGAATAAAAAGAGAGCGATTCCTTCTATATGGACTAAGGGTGACAGAAGCCAAACTGGAACTAAAGTATCTCGATACCTTGGAAAGGGGATTAGATTGGCAAGAGAGAATTTTAAGAATGTATTTTGAGCCAAGAAATTTTGCTCTGTCATAAATCAAAGGCAGCTTAGCCTCAGCAAGGGTGACATTGTTAGGTGAAGACTTCCTAAGACCCAAAGCAATTTTAGCTCCAGAAACTTGAATCCTCTCTAGCTGATTCCTAAGTTTTTGAGAGTTATGAGGATAGTACCACATACTAGCATAATCTAATCTGGATCTGATGGTACTAGAGTAGACTAACAGCAAGGTCTAGGGTTCACATCCCCACCAAGTATTTCTCAAGAATTTAATTATATTGAGATATTGGCTACACTTTAAAACCAACTGTTGAATATGAATATCAAAACGAAGCTTGTGATCCAAGTAGATACCAAG